TTTCAATCTAACTTATAAATGCATAATGTAAACAATACTTATTTTAGACTTAAATTCATATATTTAGTAAATTTGAAACTTCTGGTAACCAAAACTCAATCAGTAACACGATTACATACCAGTCATAACTGTCGTTCGAGCTTTAACATCCTACAAATATGATAAAATGTGTCCAGCTTCTTGTTCCAATAAACATCACTAAAAAACTTTATAAATAATATCCTGAGCTTCACTCCGATTAATTCTCTTCATTTTTAACACATTTCTACGGAGTTTAGAAGAAGTAGCTTCAGTTTAATCAAAACAAATCAAAAATGCAGAAAATCGAGTTAAAAAATCAAGTTGTTGACAGTCGATGTACTTTGATTCAGTGTTGTCATACTAGTGTCTAATGTTAGTTCCTCAAACATTCTTTTCATGACTTTATAGACAGACTGTATGTTATTACATACGAGGGTCAAACTGAAAGTTCTTAGAAAATCAAAAATTGATTACATTAGCCAGTTATTAGTTTTATTATATCTTTTCAAAATATTGTCCATTCACGTCAATACACCGCTGCATGCGATGGAACCACTGGGAAAAGCACTTTGCCCACTCGTCCTTAGGGGTCTCTTCAATGGCATCGCGATACGCAGCCACCGCTTCTTCAGCATTCATAAACCGCTTTCCTTTAAGTTTTTCTTTAATTTTTGGAAATAAATAAAAATCACAAGGCGCGAGGTCGGGGCTATACGGCGGGTGACCCAGTAATTCAACGTTTGATGTCGCCAAATAGTCGATCGTTCGCTTGGCGGTGTGCGACGAGGCGTTGTCGTGGTGAAGGAGGATCCTACTGCGAGGTCGTTTCTCTCGAACTTTTTCCAAGACAAGTGGCAAACAATTGGTAGTGTACCATTCTGCAGAAACTGTTTTTTGATCCTCTAACACAATTGTTGCAAAATGACCTATCCTTCCAAAGAACGAGGCCACCATTTTTTTTCCCGCACTTCGATCTCTCTTCACTTTAGTTGGCAACTCCTCGAAAGGAAACACCCACTGAGCAGATTGTCTTTTGGTTTTAGGATCATAACAGTAAATCCAGCTTTCGTCACCTGTTAGTATGTCGAACACAGCATTTGAGTCACCTCCGTTAAATCTTTCAATCATTTTACGACACCAATCCACACGATGGAGTTTTTGAGCCTCAGTCAAATTATGAGGTATCCACCGGGCGCAAAGCTTCCTGACCGCTAAATGTTCGTGGAGGATTTTGTGCACTTGACTCATACCGATGCCTAAGCTTGTCCGAATCTGTTGATAGGTCACTCTTTTGTCAGTCTCTATCATACGCCGCACAACACAGATGTTATCTTCAGTCGTCGCCGTAGAAGGCCGTCCCTCACGTAAATCATCAGTGAGATTAGTGCGACCACGTTTAAACTCATTAAACCAGTTGTAAACAGTCGCACGAGATGGGGCTTCATCGTGAAAGGCCAATCGTAGTCTATCATAACTTTCTTGTTGACTTAAATGACATCGAAAGTCATAAAAAATCATTGCACGAAAATTTTTTCGTGTTAAATTCATGATGACGTGACACAGATAATTTTCAATTTGCCGCCAAATCGTAAAACAAATGACAAATGAATGAAATATATACTCAGTAATATTGGCAAAGAGTTATATTTTCAAATTTTAGAATTATTTTTTTATTATATTGTTTATAAGTGGCCAGTTCTAAGAACTTTCAGTTTGACCCTCGTATCACTAGTAGTTTTAATTACTATTTCAGTGTCCTTGTATGTTTGTTCCAACAACCAATTTGTTATTTTAATTTTACAATCAAACCTATTAAGGCTATAAATGTTAAGTATTTTGTTATAAATGTACGGACCCAAGAAAAGATTTCAAAAACTCAGTCTTAGGACTAACAACCCGGTCGCAAACAGTACAGTACCTTCTTCTTTTTAAATTTTTGTGAGCTAAATTTGAGAGTGCTGTGTTGTTTCATTACAATGGAAAGCAAAAAGGGTTGTCGCGCTGTTAGAACCTCACAATGTTTGAAAGCAGAGAGGTTCAGAAGCAGAAGGGTCTAAAAGTGCATACCTTAAGTAAAGCTCTCTGGGCAATTTCAGCTTTTTAAAATATTGTTTTAGCTGCAACTCCACGCGACGAAATACAATAAACATTCAAAGCCTGACAAAGTACGAAATACACGCGTTTTAAATTAATTGACTCAAGAATACGCCGTAAGGTTTTAAAAACGTAAAATAATTTCCTAATTCTGGCAGTGAATAGTTAAATATGACTTCTATAATTTAAATTTTAATCTATCATAACACCGAGATATTTTATTTCGTTAACACTATGAACAGTCCGACATTACTAATTTTAGGACTTTGGATTGCAAACGCATTATATTTCGTTTTATCTGCATTTAATGTAAGCACATTCTGTTCTAGCCATTCACAAATTTTATTAAAACCAGTTTGTGCAAATTCATACGTTTCATCCCATTTCTTTCCTATAAAAATAAGAGCAGTATCATCTCCATAGAATATAATTCTTTTTTGTGAAGAAATCAACAGTAAGTGGTCGCTGGTATAAATCAGAAACAGAGTTGGCTCTAACACACTACCTTGCGGCATTGTTTTCAGAACTTTTGTCAAATATTATAATGAAAATTTCATAAACCTGCCGTGGCATAAGTATCTTATTTACAAAAACAATTTAACGGCAATATTATTGTGTACCGTAGCTAAATGTCACTTTTAATAATTTCACAGCATTAAATTTATTGATTTCCATAACTTTTAAAAAACCTTCTCTATGCTAACTTCTATTAAGTTAGTTTCCATTTTCCTTTATACAAATAAAAAAATAATTTATTCAAAGATTCGTTCGTATTTAGCGTGTTGCGTTTGCATAACTCGAACCAATTAAATTTCAACTCGATATTAGTTCGAGTTATCAGAACCAAACAACACTGACAATGTTATTCTCTTTGGTCCAACGTCATGAGTGAGGAAGTATTTAAAAATAAAAAGAAAGCACCAAAAAAGCACTTCCACTAGATGCCGACTCTAGCAAAAGTTGATTTTTGCAGGAAACGAATGGACTAAAGATAGGCACTTCCGTTCCTTTTAACTAACATATTAAAAACTGTAGTTCGCAAAGTTTGAAACTTAGATATCAATACAAAAACGAAAAATTTCAAATAGAATATGAGTTGTTTATTGAGTTTGAAAACTAATTTACTTTTATACATGAAAGAAAACCAGAAGCGTTGTCATGGAGAAATCAAGAAAACACCGTAGCGACATCTAGTTTAATTTCAGGAAGATATTTATGTTTCGTTCGTTTCGTTTTAGGAATAGATTAAAATTTGAAAAATTCGAGACTTAAATATCAATACATATACTAAAAAGTACAAATAGAATATGAGTTCATTATTGAGTTTTGAAACTAATAATAGTTTTGAAAAGGGTTGTCATAGAGAAATTAAAAAAGTACCATAGCGAAATCTGGTTTGATTTCGAGAACTAATGTTTTTTTTAAATACTTCCTCATTTTAGTTATGATATGAGTATCAAATGTTGAAATGTTGCTATTTTCATTTACCGTATGTAGTAGATTGATTTAAAAATAGCGATACTTGTGATTTCTCAGTTAAGTATATCGATTAATGGTGTTAAATTAGCGTTCAGAGAGTTAATTAACACGCTTTTATCTCTTAACGATTAACACTGTTAATTAGGTATTCGCGAAGGCGTTAAAAATTTCACGCGCTAACACGATTCGCGCGTGAAAATCCAAAACGATTGAACGAACAAACGAAACGAGACTGCGGCCGGCGGTCATTTCTAATGCTCGGAGCACAATAAGAAGGTAATTATTACGCGCGATCCTATCTCCTGTGTTTTAAGAAAGCTTACTAAGTCGATATTTTAAATACTTTAGTATAGAAGGTTGTTTAGATGATTATGTGTTATTCCGTGTATGTTTAAAGAAGTTTGTGTGTGTAAGTAGATTATAAACGGTTGTTTAAAACAATTATATTATTAATAAACTGTGAATAAAATATATGATAGCAAATGTACAGTCTATCTATAAAGTCATGAAAAAAATTGAAGGCGCTGCGATCGTGCACGTAGCAACCCTGTGTAGTGAGACAAATGATTTTGATAGTAGGATTTTCTTTATTTATAGTAAAATAAACCGGGTATTTTTTTTTTTTTTACTTTTATTACCCCAGAAAAGGTAAAAAAAGGCGTATAATTCGTAGACAAAGAGTTTATTCTACATTGAAGATTACAATATAGTAATCGTAATTTTTGATAAATCTTTTTTTTTTATAATTGCCAAGTTGTTTTCTCGTTTTACTGCAACGTGTGCTTGTGTTCGATTAAAGCCTGTTACTTTGACACTCCTTGTAAGAAAACCCTATCTATTTCAGAATTTAACGCAGGACTTCTAGGCTATAATTAAAATCCAGATCGGTTTTGGCAATCCACTGATGTTTTCTTCATGTAGGTACCTTTTTTCTCATAGAGTAAAAGAACTGAATCTTTTGTCGAAGTGCACAAATGTTGCAGTTAACCATTTATTTCTTAGGACGACTATCTATGTTTCCCAGGGGTTTCAAACATGCCACCATTTTTATAGCCTTCATCTACAATACGTATCACTATATTCTCTGATTTTCCTGAAAGTACGTTTAAAAAATGGTATTTGGCAAATAGAATGGAATCGCCACAATGATCAAATTAATGCTATAATTTTAATAATATAAAGCACAAACTTTTTATTGACGTACGTAGGTAACAATCGTACATTCTTAACAGATATATTTTTTATTCAGATTAAAATCAATGATAAAGATATACGCTTCTTTGAATTAACGCGTTAATAAATTAGCGCCGTCATTAACACGTTATAAAAATACCATTAGACTTTGGCGCGTGAATGATTTTTAGTCGTTTTGAACACCTCTAATATCGATTATCCCTAATGGCAACATTGTCGACGGCCGTTGAATGTTGACTGGTTTCACGATACACGATTTATTAATTTATTTTGAGTGTTTGCTCCAAATTTTCCGTAGATTTTAAATAATTTTGTCCCGATTGTAGCATGTACGATTCTTAATTGTTATAGAAAGTAATTATTGTGAAATATACATCTGCGCCATGTTTTTCGACGACGAAGATGAGCGGTTTCTGAATCCTGAAATTCTTCACGTCGTTCATCGCGAACTTTGTATGTATCGTGTTATTTATGTTTATAGTAAATATTATTTTCAAAACAATATGTGCTGATTGTAGAGTTTGTTTTAGATGCAATCACCTCTAATTTGGAAATTTCTCATTATGGGTTGAGAAATGTACCCACTCATACAGAAGATGGTATACCTATCAGAAAGTTATATGTGTCAAACCTACCACCCAAGGTCAGTGTGTTATTTATTCCAATTTTATATTATTAGTATTTTTACCATTATTTAATGCTTGTAAAACTTGCTTAGTGCATTTATATACCACAAGTCATTTGATGATAAAAAAATCTTGTTTAGTCAATTGTATGAAGGAAAAATAAGTGATTTATGTACTGTGGTAAATAATATTTAATTCCGTATTTTTAAATAGAGATTGGAGTTAAAATAGTTACCTAACAAAATTCACATTACTCATGCTAGTCATTAGATTTTCATTATGTTTGAAAGTTTTATTTTATCTTTCACATAAAAATGTTTAATCAAAAGTTGTCAGTCAATTCTGCAGTAGTAGATTAACATTAATTTCTATTTTATTAATACAGTTATATTATATACATTTTCTCTCGACTTCACCTGTAAAAATTATATTTTATATCAACTCAGTATGATGCTACCCATAGGTGAGAGAATTTTTAAAATCAGGCCAGTAGTTTCAGTGCCTATTCAATGCAAACAAATCAATTATTTCATCTTTAAAATGTTCACACAATATTCTTAATTGAAAATGCTTCAAAAACCCACTTTATCCCATCTCAGAATACCAGGGAAGATTTTGAAGCATTTTCATGAAGAATATTTTTTGGTATAGCATTGTGAATGCAAAATTGATCAAATATAATATATGGACAGTGTTATGCAATACTGTGTCAACCCACAAATTGACAAAAATCGAGATATTACTACCATCCGCTTCCTTAGGTAATAAACTACATTTATCAAAAGCATGTTAAGGAATTCAAACCATTCTAATACTAAAAATTTAACAAAAACTGTTGACACGTTTACAATATCTTCCATAGGATAATGAACAATATTGCGTCATGTTCCTTAACAGATATACATTTACTTTAAAGTGCGATCTGTGTTAAGAAAAATGAGTCATAAGTCTTGATACATTATTGTATAATTCGATCATTCAGTCTAGGCATGTTGCAAGAACTGTTGGCGGGTTAAAATAATAATCTAAAGGATAAATCTTCGATATAGGATCAAAAACTGTTAGAAAAAGAAGTTTGAAGCAGAATTTAAGTAAATACATTAAAGGTGAGTTAAGATTTTGCATATTTTTGTGACTTTCATCAAACCGCTATCGAGGTCAGGTTAAAGTTTAAATTATGCAAAAATGTTTTAATTTAGTTATTACATACATTTTTGAGTGTGTTTGAAAACATTATTTATTAATGTTAATTGTGGAATATCATAATATATTGATAATATTTCGATTTATAAGATCAATAATATTAACAGTTTCACTTAACATGTTATTGCTATATTACATAATTGATATTTATTCAAGCGGTCATAGATTGTAACAGACTTAATCGATTATTGCAAAATACATCTGTCTGTCATTATTATGATTTAGAATACTTGAAAAGCGGTCAAATACTTTGACTCATTATAAGAAAATTCCATTAATATTTATATCAATGAACGTTTGTTGGATTAGTGGATTTTATTTTTTTGTAAAAAATGAGTAAAATAAAATGGTTACGAAGTTTCATGTATTACTTTTCTTTAAGTTCAAGAGGTCATAAGCTCGTGGATCTCATAACACAAAAGAAAATTTTTGGCAAATGGCCAAGAGGACGTTTTTGGCAAATGAGAAAAAATTTGAAGTTTTTCCAAATCATGATATTTCAAGACAATCCTTAGTGGATATGGATATCTTACTTCCAGTTATTAATATAATAACAGATCAGGACTTACAAGTCACTTGAGTTCTGGACCAGGTGTACTGGATTATTATCGGACATTGACATTGATGCTCCAGTCGTTGAGGTCTGTGACCAGGAAAAATCCCATATTCCAGAGCCTCATGATATTATCATAAATCCTGAGAATATAAGTAGCCAAACTCACCTTATCATTTCATACAAAGAAGAACCAAGTACTTCAGATCATAACGTGGATGAAGGTGATATAAGAACAACTAAGCTATGCAAAATTGAACACGTACGAACCGTAGAAAAAACAACATTATTATTGCAGCCCTACGACGCTAGAAGAGAATATTGAAAAACTGACATATTACCTACAAGGAGTTCAATACGCTGCTCTAGAAGATCCAAATTGTTCAGAGGTAACGTGTAACGAAACGGAAAATGTATCTAATCGACAGCTAGGGAGACCCAGAAGAGAAGGAAAAAGAAAATATATAGACCTAAACAGAATTATTATAAAAAAACGAATAACAATGAAAACTATAACAGCGTGTCAGGAAAACTTGTTACCTCTAAACAATTTGAGTATTACTACGAATCGCGAGTTGATGTTGCTTTAAAAAATTTAAATCACAAGCTCCGATAAATGATCAAAAGAGTACGAAATCAGGAGGAAGAAATTATATTTCGGAACAGAAATTAAACCAAATAAGACATTTAATTGAAGGTTTACCCAAGTACATATTGCATTATTGTAGAGATGATAGGACTGCAAGTTATTTAGCGCCAAATTTAAATTTTTCAATCGTTTATGATCTATATAAGGGCAAGCATGAAAATCCTGTGGGCATTTCAAAGTTCAAGCAAATTTTTTTCAAAGAATTTTACCTGAGTTTCAGAAAACCTCAGAAAGATACATGCCTTCGTTGTGATCGCTTTAAAGCAAGCATATGCAGGAGACATTGCGGAAATTGAGCAGTTAAAAAATGAACATTAGCCGACTTAGATCACGCTTATAAATTGAGAGACCAAATGAAAACTGATTTGGCTCTAACGTAATAGTTTTTGTATTTTTTCTAAGAATGCTATTGTTATTACAGCAACAGTAATGTAATTACCAGACGGTAGGACGGAAGGCCATAAAAATCTGGCAAAACTTTTTAATATACGAAAATGTGTTCTTAGAGTTGAAGGGTACCAAATATGATATCAAGTCAATAAATATCATTCCATTTAAAAAAGTGAATTATTCATTATAATACATTCACAAAGTTATTTATTTTTATAACACAAACTTTATTTAGACGAATATGTTGTTTCATTTTTAAACACGATTTTCTCGAAATGGCGATCTTGTGGCTTGACATAATATTGCATAACAGCGTCCATATACACTTAATATTGTTATTTACATAGTGTGTATTATGTGAAAGACGTAGGTCATGATTATATATTTTTTCTTTTTAGACAACACGGACAGAATTATTCAATGTATTTGCTCAATATGGGTTCATCAAAAGCTGTTGGTTAAGAATGGGTGACAAAGGCCCTAATAAAACTCCTACACCTACTTATGCCTTTGTCACATTCAGTAACCCAGCTGACGCTCACAAGTAAGTTTGAAAGCACTTAAGGATAAGCTACATTACATATTTTAATTGCGATAATTGTCTTCAAAAATATACCTTGATAAGTAACTTGATAATTATAAAACACAACAAACTTGTTTTGTACTTAAGGACTTGTAATTAAAGGGGAATCTTCTTTAAACAACTATCAAATGTGGTTTTTCTGATATAAAAAATTGTCCTACAAAACAAAAAAAAAATTAGAAGGCCCCTTTTATAATATATAAATAAAATTTTATTTATATTTTCATTTCACTTTTTGTGCAATTTTTTTATTGTGTCTGTATTTTTTTATAATTGAAAAATATTGAAATTAAAGTTCATTCCATTTTGAATGCTTTTCTGTATTTAAAAAAAAATGTTGCTAGTAACTATGGATGATTATCGTGATATTTATGAACCCTGTTCTTTACCCAATTATAAAAAAATATTTTAATAATGTAACTAAATAAAATTTAATTATTTTTAAAGGGCACTCCAAGCTCCCAATCATGAGAAGATGTTAAGAGGTCGCAACTTGAGAATATCCCCAGCAGACAGTTGGCATCAGCCAGCAGAAGATGCTGATGGCAGAGTGTGTTGGAAACCTCGTAGTCTACCACGCAGTCATGATATTGAAGATTCTTCTCCAGCTTCTGATAATATTGATTCTCAAGGTAGAAGAGATAACCGTAAAATTAATAGAATTTCAGACCTTGCTGATTTTTTAAATATGACTGTGTCCAGGTATTGCAGCTGTTGTGATCTGTCTATCTCTGAAGGCCCTTCTGCACACGGTGCACAACAGTGTGGCATCACAGTACATTTTTTGTCCTGGATATACTATATAACTGGTTATATGCTGGCATGCTGATGCCACGCAGCTGCTGCGCCAATTGATTCAGAAAAATGCGTAAAATAACCAGGGGTGAAAGACTTCTAAGCAATAGAGGGGCTATCTTTCAGACTAATCCAACATATAGAGTCAGTTGATTACAATGGAGCATAGACTTGTATTGTATTGTTTCGAGTTGCGGATTATCTTGGGTTTATGTAGCCCAGTATCACTGCGACCATTGCTGATCTATTGTGATCTCCTAGAGCATAGACTTAACAAGTTTTGAAATCAAATACATGGTATATTTTATAAAAATGGTCTTAGAAGAATGCATTTGACTGCGCTCTGTACTATCAAATAGATATCACATGAATCATTCATTTGCTTTATCCTAAGGCCAGTGCTTTTTACTCAAGGCCAGATCATAATCAGCCCTTTTACGTCCCCACTGCAGGGGCTCAGGCCTTCCTAGATGGTTAAGGAGGAAAAGCCATGAATCTCCATGCTGGCCTAATGCGGATTGGAAGGTATTAACGACTGCAAAAACTGTCGGGACTTGCCACGTAACGTGCCTTCCGAAGTACGGCGCAGCTCGAGTTTTTAGTCATCCATGACTGACCCATGCGAAGGTTATGTTATATTTTCCGCATCTCGACACCTTGTACCTATTTTGCGTGAATAATGGGGTTGCATTAGACCTGCCACCCCAGCTACTCCAGGAAGCCCATAAGTCTTTTAACTTTGCCTCATGCCTCCTTTAATGTATATTGGCCACCTAGATGTGTAGTCCTATGTCTTGAAACGCCCCTGCATTCCAGTAGCACGTGAGTGATTGTCTCTTCAGCGTCCAGGCATGCCCTGCACAGAGAACTGTCAAAGATACCCTTGTTATATAGGTGCTTATTAAAATAGCCATGTCCAGTTATTATACCTACTTTTAGTCTTAGTGTATGTCTAGGTAGTTTGTTTAACTTACGTAACTGCAGGTCTACCTTGGGGATTGCTTCTTTGGCTTGCCTGCAGTCGGTCGTTTGAGTCCAGTATTCGTCGTGTTGTCGATAGGGAGAGCGTTCGGCGTTCTCTTACCCAGTTTCTCAGCTGTCGAAATTGTATGGGTATGATGGGTTCCGGTCCGATGGGCTTCTGCTTGACCCTTCTCTAGCCAAGCTGTTTGCCCGCGTCATTACCCGTCGACCCGCTTTGCCACTTGATCTATTGTAAAGTCAGTGTATGTGTCTTACATACCTCTGTAAATTTTTAGTGTATTTTAAAGCTCAATTCAAATAAAACGAATAACAAAAACTAATGTGAGGCATGTCAGTACACTTATAAATGTAAATAGTGAAAAAGTTGAGTTAGTAGAATCGACAAAGTTCCTTGGTATTACACTAGATTCCCGACTGCAATGGGATCCGCATATTGATAGCTTATTAAGTAGACTGAGTTCTGCAGCTTTTGCTGTTAAGAAAATTAGACTCTTGACAAATTTTGAAATGGCAAGATTGGTATATTTTAGTTATTTTCATAGTGTTATGACGTATGGTATATTGTTGTGGGGTTCTGCGGCTAGCATTCAGGATATTTTTATTCTACAAAAGAGAGCTGTCTGTGCTATATATAATTTACGGTCTAGGGAATCTCTCAGAGAAATATTTAAAGAAATAAATATTCTGACTGTTACCTCTCAATACATCTATGAGAATATTATGTACACAAGAAAACATTACGATTCCTTCACAAAAAAAGTAGTGTTCCTAATCTTAACACAAGAAATAAAAATAAAATTGCCGTTCCAAGCTTCAGACTTCAAAAAACCAGAGGATCATTTCTGGGTAAATGTATTGCTATGTTCAATAAAGTTCCACAAAATGTAATCGACCTACCCATATATAAATTTCAAATTCATGTAAAGAACATTATGAGTAAAGGCTATTATAAAGTTGATGATTATTTAAAGGACCGGAATGCATGAAATTACGATTAATTATATCTATAACGATTAATTATAGGCATGTACCAACCTATGTCCTACAGACTTTAAAACTTGTATTTATTATTGTTCAATATATGTATTATTTTGGTAATGGCATGATTTATGTAAATGTCATTACTTATGATAAAAAGCTGGTAAGTTTCTTTCGCTTGTTCTTCTTGTCAGCTAAAAGACGTTCTGAACAAGTGGTAGGGGAAAAAATATTTTTGGACGATTCAAAAGTGCTTGTAACAAGCTTACTTGAATAAAACATTTTCATTTCCTTTCAGGGACTGACCTAGCTATAGCTTTGACAAGGGGGTGGGGGGTCCCCAGAACAAAAAACAGAACTCTAACACGAATAAAATCTATCATTTACAAATTAAACATTGCCTGCGACTATAACACGCAAATACAATTATAATATATACTAAACTATAATATATAACTTAAGTTACTCTGAGTAGGTGCTTTTAAATAAAAAGTTGTAATGTATGTATTGTACGAGGGCGGGATGATAAATAGCTAGCCTAGCATAGAAAAACTTGAATTAGTGTGTTAAAAGTATATTTATTTTTCTACATAGTCTCCTTGAAGCGCTATGCACTTCATCCATCTCTGCTCTAAAGCCTTGATGCCATCCCTGAAGTGGTTTTCTTCAAGCCCTTCAAAATAACTGTCCACGGCCGACATCACCTCGCCATTATTTTCAAATCTTTGTTCACTTAAAAAAAATTTGTGCTTAGGGAAATAGGGAATAGATGAAAGTCAGATGGTACCAGATCAGGAGAATAAGCTGGGTGTGGTAGCAAATCAAATTTAATTCTTTGAATTTCGCCATCGCAGTGATGCACGTGTGAACGCGCGCATTATCCTGATGAAAGATTATTTTTTTTAGCCAGGCCGGGTCTTTTTTTTACGAATACACACTTGTAATTTATCCAGTAGATCAGCATAATATTCGCCATTTATGTTTTGTCCTTTTGGAAGGTAATCAGTCATCAATATACCCTTGACGTTCCCCGCTGATTTCACGGCTTTTGCTTTCTTTGGAGCCGGGGATCCTTTTTCCGTCCATTGTTTAGACTGAATTTTTGATTCAGGTATATAGTGGTAAACCCAAGTCTCGTCTGTAGTAACAAACCGTCGCAGAAAATCAGTTGTATTGCTCTTAAAGCGGTCCAAACATTCTTGTGGAACGCGTTTTTGGTCAACTGTAAGCAATCGCGGCACCCACCTTGGGGATAATTTTTTCATACATAATTCTTGAGTCAAAATGTAATGCGCCTGTTCTTTAGAAATGCCTACAGTATCAGCTATCTCGGAAAGTTTCAATCTTCGGTCAGCTAAAACTGCATCATGAATTTTGATCACAATTTCTGGAGTAGTGGCACTTTTTGGTCGTGCTGGACGATGTTCATCTTGGGTGCTGGTACGGCCACGTTTAAATTGAGCCACCCAATTTTTTATGGTCGCATATGAAGGAGCATTTTCTCCAAAAACATCCTTCATCTCCGAAAAAATCTCTCCACCTTCTAATCCTTTTAAATGCAAAAACTTTTTCACAGCTCGTAGCTCAATTTTATCCATTTTGCAGAAGAAACAAAAGAATGCTTTTATTTAAAAGAAAAACTATACGATCGGTTTGAAATTTGGAACACTGACAGTTAATGAACCAATGAGTAAAATACTAAGGAGATTTTATATCTTTATCATACAAAATATGGGTTGGGCTACCTATTTATCATCCCGCCTACGTAATATTTATTCAAAGTAACAAAGTTGAAACTTCAAAGTACAAAATTTAGTCTTTTACGTTTTATTGCTATCTGATTAGGGACAGACTCCACAGCAACTATCGTTTTCTGCAATAGACGTGGTGCATCTATTTTTTTTCTCTTGGACAAGTAAGTTGGATATTAATGGGGGGGTCTGGACCCCCAAGACCCCCCCTTATATACGTCCGTGCATTCGTGTATTAGACCTGATGTCATCAAATTGTTGTTTAAAGCTTGTAATACCGATGCACTGTCGGAGTGAATAAGGATATCTTTACTTCTTACTCTCCGGCTTGTAATTGCTTCCGCAGCCTTTTTTATATCCACGCATTCTGCCTGGAATACTCTGTTAAAGATTCCCAGTGCCGTGGATATGTGGATGTTAAGATCCTCCGAGAAGACACTAGGACCTGTACCTGAGCTAGTTTTAGAGCCGTCCGTGAAGATTCTTTGCTCTTTGTTAAGACATAAATCTGGTGTGTCTTTGTAGAGTTATATTTTATATTTCTTGTCAAAAACATACCTTCTGTTTGTTAAGTCGTTGGTGGCCATAAAAAAGGGGTATTCCTCATTGATGTCTTTTAGGATGTTTGTGTGCGGGATATTATTATCCCTCCATAGTGCCAGCATATTTAGCCGTGTGGCTGAGCACATGGCTTCTTGTTGTATAAAAAGATGTAGTGGTCTTACATTGAGTATTGTCTCTAGCGATGCTGTTGGAGTAATTCTCATGCAGCCAGTGATTGCACAGCAGGCAGGTCTTTGGAGGCATTTAACAATGAGTTTAATAACTAGAGAAGCAATCCCATACAACAGATGCGCCAAAAAGTGTAGCACTTTTCCGAAATCAGGACGTAGCTTTGCAAATAATATTTATACTATATATTATAAATAGATTTATTATATTTGTCTCCTTCATATCTACGATTAAACTTTAAATTAAACAAAGACAGAATATGTGCGAACGACAGAATGAACGGAAAAATGGGTAATTGATATTTTATTGCCAGCTGTCGAAAATTTCACCCATTGTGATGAATGAATGAATTAATGAATAGTGTAGATATATGTATAATATCAATAAGTAAAATACTGTAACTATGAAAATTTCTTTGAAAAGACTTTGAAAAAAAAAATCACGAAAGTAGGGTCGGTGCATATATATCCCTTTGTTTTTCGATAAAGTCAGTGGTTAAGACAAAAACATTTGTCAAAGTTCATAAAACAGCAAACAAAGGTTCAATTTTACGTATTTTCAAAAGTTGTATCTTGACAACTAACGAATTCCACGCATTGAAAAAATTAAACCACATTAGTATCTGTGTGCGTGTATAAAAAAATTATCAACACAATTAGCGCAGTTGCCTATACTTGAGCTGAGCTATATAATTAATAGATATTTAGATAAATTATAGCCACGTAAAATAAAAGGAAAAGGCTCCCATATACTTAGGAAAATTGAAAGTGAATAGCAGTGGCAACACTGACGACAAAATATCGAAATTTTTTTTTGTGAAAATTAAATATTTTTATTTTATAACCTAGCTAAAATTTTGTATTTATTGCCAAAAATGTTAATGACTTAAGTGTAAAACTTAATATTCTTTCGTATTATGAGTATTTGTGAAAGAGAATCGTATTTTATCTACTGTTTTTCTTTGTTTGTTCGGAGCATTTTTTTGTACTTTCTTGGCGGGAGTTGAATGAGTAATGAAGTGAAAAACGAAAAAACTAAGACAAACGTTTTAGTTTTAGTAGCTTCAGATTTTTGGTATGTATTGCGTATCTAGACATATTAATATCATTGGCATTTAAGTTTATTTATAGTTGTTACCTGTGTTGTCTTTGTCCACCATACAATCGCACCGTAGCTTATGATGGGCCTAATAATTGGGATGACGACTGGGTAAAAAAAATGCAATTACTATTTAGGCGTCAGTCAGATAATAGAAAAATATTAGATACGTATTATTTTTACTTCAATTTAACAAGTAATATCTTAGATAACAGGCATTAAAGTTGAGTAGTGGGCGCTCGCTACGTCACAGTTGAGTAGAAAACGTAGCCTAACGTGACGTCATGCGAAATTGTAACTCCATGTAACGCCGTAATTTTATGATTACGAAAAAAAATAAAAAAATACGTGTTTAATATTTTTTAACACTACCTGACGGACAAACAAACAAAAATTAGTCATCATCCCTATTGTCTCATACAACAATTTCTTAATATGTGGAGTCATTACGAGAAGATGACGTTGGCTTTTTTGATGGATTTGTCTATTTGTGAGTTGTTGAGTCATCCAAAGTAATACCTAGGTATTTACCGAGATGTCTGTATTTACCCAGCATCCTTTTGTTGGTGAACATTACCATTTCTGTTTTTGAGGGGTTTACTTTTAGTCCATAGTCGTTGCACCACTTTTCCAAGACTTTCAGTGCTGTTCGACAGAAGTGGCGAAAGTACCCTGTGGGCAGCCTTTGGTTGCTATTGCCTCGATCTGGTTGTTACCTTGCAGTCTTATTAGCCTGTTTCGTACCATCTTGCTTACCCATTGTGTGATGGTGTCCTCTACTCCATGAGTAGCTAGAGCTTTCGCTATTCAGTCAAAACTGGTTTTGTCAAATGCTTCAATATCTATGATAGTCGCTAGACATATTTCTTTCCTTTTGAGACTTCCCTTTATCGTACTTACTACGGAGTGAAGTGCGGATTCTGTCGATTTGCCAGGTGTATATGCATGCTGATTGGGATGGAACGGTATGTTTTTAAGTTGGTCGTCTCTAAGCTCTCTATCATATAATCTCTTTAGGGTTTTTAGGATAAAAGATGAGAGACTGATTGGTCTAAACGATTTTGCATCATTATAGTCGAATTTACTGGTTTTTGGGATGAATATCACCATGATCTTTCCATAACTTTGGGGTATATCTGTGTGCTAAACAGGCTTGCAGAAGAGGCACCAGTATCCTTGTCACTGCTTCATTAGCCCACTATAGAAGCGCTGGAAAGATTTTATGAGGTCCAGCTGCCTTATATGGTTGAAAGATGTTTATAGCCTTTCTTACCTTATCCGTAGAGACCGTTCTCTGTGCGGTGGCCCAGGATTGTTCAATGGGGATCCAGTTAGTGCCCTTCCAGTTCTGCGTGGTTTGTATCACGCAGCCCGGAAAATGAGTCTCCAGTAGAACCTTATTGAGCCGTCTGTTCTGCGTAGTTGTCTAATGTTCAGTTGGTCGTCTTAAGATAATAGTTTTCTGACCTTATTAGCTTTCGTGTACGAGTCAATGTCGGGACATAACTTTCTCCAGGATCCCTGTTTCCAGTGTCGTGTACGTTTATTGTTGAGCAATTTTGCATTTCTGTATGCATCCCAGTCCGGGTCATCATATCGTGTTCATTACCCTGTTGAATAGTCTTCTAACCTTTGTCTTTAGTCGCTGCAGTTCAGAACCCCACCATGTTGGGCTGTTGGGTGAGGCCTTAGCAGGATCCATCGTCCAACCTCGGGATTTTTATGGCGTCCACAGACTTCTTCACCCACTGTAATGTTTTGGGTGTCTCACACCAGAGACTAAGCACTCCATCCCCGAAACTTAGCTTCCCTTTTAGGTTTGGTCCTTCGTCAGTCGATGGCTCCGCCTGTAGTGTCTCCATTATGACGGCTTCCTCCAGGGCTTCTAGCACTTGTGATGCCTGGGCTACTGTCAGGTGTCCTGTCTTTTGGCTGGTGATTATCACCAGTAGGTCCGCTGTGGCCGCATCGGCAAATGATATTTTTGCCGGTGTTCGACGCGATTCCCCCGATTTGGATTTCTTATGATCTCCCCTCGGAGAGACCGTGTCGTCCAGTCTAAGCCCCTTCGATGTCTGTTTGCCTTTCGCCGCAGAAGTCTGTCTGTACTAGATATTTGCCTCTTGACCCGTATCAGTCGCCTTTATGGCTTCCGCTCTCTGTCTATTACGGGCCTTCCTAGCCCTTTGTCCCAGTTTGGTCCTTCTGTGTCGAGTCTCCTCGTTAGTTTGGCCTTGATTCCTTTCCCCACCCTGCCGATCTTTACGTCGGTGGGTTACTTGTTGGAGTCAAGGTCGTCCTCCCGTGTTTGTTGTCTATCGCCGGATTGCTCCTTCACCAGGTCTGCCAAGGCACGGGATGAAGTTGGATTGTCATTGTAACTGTCATGGTCTTTGTGCACCGGTTGTCGTTTGTCTGTCTTTGCTGTCAGTTTGCCTTCACCAGGTCTTATGGGGTCTTTGAGTTTCTATGTCCACATAAAATCATTTATTCATCCTCGTCAGTCCTACCCGCCATGGAGCCAACAATTTTGATATATTCGGACACTAAGATTGTGACGAGGATATAGGAATGCAGTTTTCCTCCTTGCGCGACATCGGGAGCTGCAGTTAAAGGGATTATAGTCGATCCCAACTATCATTGGTTCCCAACAACCTTACTCCTTCAGCATTGCCGGAGTCCATCACTGATATGTTAAGTGAGCCCCACGTCCCTCGCCGGCGACCCATAGACGGTAGACGCCAAGACCGTTTCTACGTAGCTGGCTGGACCACGTGGTTGCCCTCTAGCTTGAAATCCAGGCCAAAGTGCTGTGTTGCATCCGGGGTGCCGCAGCTACCCATTCCACTCAAACACCAGGACCCCTTCATCCCCGCGTACGGCTCTTCTGCGCAGTTCGTAGCGCAGGGGAAGCTCACAAACTACTTGACCGCTTTCCCACATTGGGTGCGACAACTTCAGGGATTGTGATGGGAAGTAAGGATGAGGATAGGATAGGATTTGTAGGGACGTGGGTAGGGTTGCGCCTAACTGTTTTAGAGATATAATGTGTTTAAAGTTTAGAAACCAGACCAATAACAGGCGGCCACCGCTTGAAGGAGACAGTCAGACTTGCCTAGGGGATCAACATGACCTGCACTCTCCGTAGGTCATTTGCCAGATTACCAGACGGGACAGAATGGTAAAATAGGTGATATGTTAGCTTGATATTTACAATGAGTACAAGTTCAATCTAACATATCCCCCGCCCTTGAGAAAGTTGCTTAACAAAAATTATGGCGGACTGCGGTGCTTATCCACTACGCCACCGAGCTACTCAAGCTACCCAAGACTTGATATAAATCAATGCTAGCAATTAAAATGTGCTGCTGAAGTATGATTAAGTTTTTTTATATGCATAACATTCATGCAAACAAGAATAAACTGCACGAATTAAAATCCGTTTATTATAATGTACTTTCACCATTATTGATATAAAGAAAAATAATCTGTCGTCAATGAGGTATGCTTTATAAAGCAGTGAGATAAATGATTTATCTAATATCTATTTGATAGTCAATATGCTGAGCATATGATCATGTAATGATGATTAACCTAAATTTTATTCAACAGGTGGTCCATCTGTTGAGTCTTCCTTGGATAATGAAGCTAATAGTTCTAATGAAAATACAAACGTGAGTTTATTGGTTAATATACATAGTTGATGGCTGGTTATGAAAATTTGTTATTTATTTTTATATGTAATTTATTTCAGATAGAAGAGGCCACTCCAGAAACTGAATACACTTACAACATATTAGATATACTTAACAGGGATTGCATGACACATATTTTAACATTCATCCCTATTAAAGATCTCATTCGATCAGAGAGAGTCAGCAAAACTTGGCAAAACATGATACAAGAATATCTTCAAAGTTAGTAAAATTTTATTTTCTTTACTGTTAAGGAACATATTCATATGAAACATATTCATTATAATAATCATAATAAACTTAAAACCTGTAGTTCCATATTTCATTATATAGGAGGAGATAAATCGCTCATAACATTCCAATGATGAAGAAAATGGAACTTAATTTATAGTAATATATTTTACAAAGAAGTAAATAAATGGGACTATAAAATTGCACATTTTATGGAACATATGCAAAGCATAAATATATAAGTAGTTGCACTTGAGCAGAGTATAAGAGTAGGTGCTCTTCATACATAGCATCGAAAATGGTTTGTATGTGAGCGCGCCCGTGCGTATGCGTCGTCGCACGCACACACTTATAATAATACAAACTCCTATAACTTCGATAATTTTGTAAGTGTGTGCGTGCGACGACGCATACGCACGGGCGCGCTCACATAAAAACCATTTTCGGTGCGTATTTATGAAGAGCACCTACTCTTATACTCTGACATATGGTAATAGTTTTTTGTGATTTGTGAAATTTTGTCATTTGTTTTGCAGGATCTAATAAAGATAATATTTCCATAGCACAATTAATGTGGCTTTCATTAATAAATTTACATAATTACAACTTAGTGCCAATAGATAAAAGCAATTTTATTATTATATCTTTCAGTTATTCATTGCTTTTGATTCCTTTGGTGAGATATCATATGTTAACTTTAAACACATAATATCTCTAGAGGTGACATTTTTGTGAAAAAGTTATCGCGATAACATTACATAAACATTATTTTGGCTATTGTTGTTGGTAAATAAACATTCGGATAGCACATATTTTAATATTTGAACAATCGCCTTGTCCAGTTCCCTTTTGGAACGGAATATTACAAGTAAATCAGTTATTCCTTAACAAAAAGGATTTTTTTTAACTGTTTCAAGTCCTGTAATACGTGTTGGTTATATCATCACAGGTATCCGTACGTTCAAAACATCATGGTGGGTGCACGAGCAGTCTCGCTTGACGACGGCAGTGTTGCGTCGCGTGTTACAGCGACTTGGCGCGTCGCTGCTGCGGCTGCATATAGACCACCAGCTGTCAGCCCTCAACGATCGTACCGCTCACACCATTGGGAAGTTCTGTCCTAACCTCGAAGAGCTTAAGGTACACTTCATTAGTCACACTCTGTATTGCTGTCTTTGTAATGACCAAACTGTGTCTGAGTGAAATAGGTAGTTATAGGTAATGGAGTTTTAATTACTCTTAAATGACTTGGTTGGTATGGTAATGGTTGATAAAGGGCAAGGAGCATATTACCAACAACACTGATGGTATTTTCAATAGCTAAAGTGTACAACTTTTGAATAATATATCTCAATCGAGTAAATAATCTATCTTTTGTTGATACTCTGATAAATAATGTGGTGTAACTTATAAGATACTTGAAAATGCTTAAAAATAGAGCATAAAACATTTGTTATTACGTAACGTAAATGTGATAACATACTGAATGCCGATTTTAAAATGTCAATACCCATTTTTTCTAGGTTGTAGGCATGTATACGAAAAATTGGAATCCCCTTCTCTATGGATGTAAGCAACTGAAAAACCTGTCCTTCGTTTCCTGCAATAAAGTATGTATTGATACATAACCTCCCTAGTTTTTGAGGTATCATAAACAGCGCTAGAATTTACTGATGATTTCGTTTATTACAGCTCACAGATTCTAGTCTAGTACACCTTATGAAAAACGACTCGTGCATCGAAACACTAACTGTCGCAAACAACACACATGTAACCGGCCTTTTTCTAACTGGATCGGACACACCAAGAATGCATTCATTATCATTTTACAATTGCTACAGCTTACAGGGAACTGTCCTATGTGCTGCGATAGATACATTACCTAACTTAACGACGTTGAAGTTGGATGTATGTCCTATAGCAATGTGGAAGATAATACCGATGATATTGAAAAAAGTACCGAAACTGGAAGAACTCTCGCTCAGTGAATACACATCCACCGAATGTATCTCGCCTCACAGCAACGATGCCTTCTGTGAGGCACTGGCACAAATGAGGGATTTGAAAATACTAAATCTGAGTAGAAACATCTATATAAATAATGCTGTGCTGAAGCAGATCAGTCAAACATGCACAAAATTGGAATCATTGAACATTTCCAGTTGTAATTCAATAAGGAATTTTTCTAGTCCAGGTATGATTATTTTCTATGATATAATATATATATTATACATGAAACCGAATTTATATTACGAAATTAATACCAGTTACACACATATCCGCATCTATAAAACATAAGACAACTCTCTTTATTTTAAGTCAGATTTTGTTGTTTTGTCTCAATCATGTAATACAAATGCATACAAACATATACATGAACTCATGCACATATACACATAGAATATTCCCATATGTGTACATTAACATACACGAAGCAACTTATTCAGCAAAACATGTTAAAAATGTAAATTTAGATATCTTAAACTAATTTTAGTGACAGTCATCGATGGAATCTCTTCATCATAAACCCAGTTTTAAGTCGATTCACGTTTTAACAATCCAAATGTTTCTTTTAACCACGCAGAAATGCTGTCGAGAACGGAATCATATCTTCTACATATAAAAGAAAGTTGTGTTAGTTATCATTTTTTGCATTTGTCTTCGTCGGGAATAGGAGAACATACTTTAGTCATATCACTATTTAATCAGCAAACATTATACATGAAATATTAAAAATAAAACAAACAAATGAATAATAACAGGAACATGAAAATTATATTAACACAATTAATAGCTTCACTGTGTCTACATATGACATCTTTTGCAAGGTTTCTTTTTTTAATTAAGAATTTCTTAAATTTAATGAGTAACAACAAGTGAAATTTAAGGAATAACAGCATATTGCACCCTGTGAAATTTATACAGCCTTTGTTTCAAATTGAACTAATATATTATCCGTGTAACGTAAAAATAAATTTTTATTTGCAAAAAATAGAAGAACTCAAGATTATAAATTTTTGGTCACCTTTGCGAAATATAGCCTTTCCGATAGTTGCTTAACATTAATAATAGCAAAGTGATTGTGCTCATCTCTTTGCTTTCAAACTCTTTTTATTGATCTATTTATTTTTAGCGATTAGAAACTAATAAAGGTACAATAAATATTGTTGCAGAAAATTTCAGAATACTTTAAACAATAGGAATTGAAAAAATCGTTTGCGAATATGAGGAAATATCATATATCATTTCACAAGAGAAAATATTTCAGGACGCATTTTTTCATCACTATTATTAAATCTATAGAATTCATTTTATTGATTTCAATCTCTAAATTTTCCTTTGCGTGCATTTTTCTTTATCTATCGATTTCGTACAGAGCCAATATAATATTAAGTTATATCTTCAAGGGTAAAAGGCAATTCTATTCTAGACTTCAATGTATTCAGGTAACCCGTATCAATTTTGAAAGGAAGATTACCAACACATATATTATTATAATAATATTTCGAGGCATTTTTACAATTAATGTACCTTTTTAGCGAAAGTATCTACTGAGACGTGAACTTAACTTTTTTAACGTCGAGAAAATGCTACTGGCTCTGTACCTGTTACCTGGCAAGCAACAGGGGGTGAGTAGGATTATTTTCCGTAACTCGCAGCCGAGTTACCAGGACCTTGGTCCCATTGCAGATGGAGAGGCTCGGGTCCATCGAGAGCCTCTCTCAGACAGATGAGGCCCTGTAATGCAGAGGTGGCAGCCAACCACCTCCGCTAGCCTCGAAGACGTAAACCTAACCTGATAAGAATTTACTATCGAAAACCTTATACGTGCGTTCACTGTAAACAACTAGATGCTTAATTGCAACAGCGCAACGCTCTTTTCACATGATCGTATAATACATGTTCATTATAAGCTAGCTTATAATACCTATATATGATCAATGATATTTAATATTGGTCATATATAATTGAAATTAACTTAAATTGCAGTATCCACGATATTGAAAACTTATTTTTTTATTTATATTCTTATAAATTATAATTTTACAGAAAATATTAATACGTAGTGCAACGGATAAGCGCCGCTACCAGCGATAGTTGTTGTTAAGCAATTTTCGCATGGGTTGTTCACGGGACGTTTATGACATTCCACGTCTATATAGTTGCAGACGCCCAAACAAATTATTATTACCAAAATGTCGAACAGTCATGAGCTTGCAGTTTATTTATTTATTTTTTTCACAATCCTGGCGACTGATAATAATTAGTAAAAAATATCGTTTCGCTTATTTGTCTCAATGTTATTAAAAAAAAAATTGTCGGTATATATATATATATATATATATATATAATAACGTAAAGCGTGCACGTTACGTAGGCGTAGGCGACGAAGGCGTGCGCGCCATATGCGGGGCGTGTGTGTCGCTGCAGACCCTCGACGTGTCGTACCTCGCGTCCCTCACGGACGCCGGCCTCTGCGCCGCCGCTCGTCTGCCGCGACTGCACCGCCTGGTGACGCGCGGCAGCGACGCGCTCTCCTCCGCACCGCTCGCACAAATGCTGCGCGCATGTCACCACCTGCAGGTATACAGGATTTTTTTTTCCATTTTTTATTTTGTATACATTTATTTACATTATATTGTTTGTCAATATTACAAGTTTCATTTAAGCGATGTTGCTGTTCTAACCCCTTGATCGAGTAACGTAACGTAAAAAATTACCAAGTATTATTATTTATAAACTAACTAACAAACATATATGCGAATAAATATTTAAGTACGACTAGTACCGTTTCAATGTTAGTTCATTATTAGGAAGTGATTTAAATATTAATAATTAAATAACAAATATAAAACTTTTCATGGTTTTTTAAATATTAATATCTAAATAAAAAAGATAATATAACATCACATTTAATCAATACAATTCAATGTATATTCAAAATAATATAAAGGAATCATTACTCCAGTATCCTTTCAATTAATTCTCTTGGTGTTTTTCAATATCGAAAGTTATTACTAAACAATGTTTAGCGTCAGAGTAAATTTACAGTAAAATTGTAATTTTAGTATTGGTCCAAATTCATATTATACAGATTTACTCCTAGAAAGTATTAGGTTTGCTTACCACTACTTTCTAGGAGTAAATATTACTCTCGTAGCACGTCTTACCTGGTTTACCTTTGCTAAATGTCTGTTCAATTATATGAATTTTCACTAATAATTAGTGCTGTCAACGCTAAACCTTGTTTACTAATAACACTGTTTATGTCTATCACTAATGTAATATGTCAAATTAAAATGGCTTTTGCGCGTTTCTTACACACTCTAGATGACTGTTACGGTTAAGCGTGATTGGTTATAGTTATATTGGAAAGTTCTGATTGGTATGTTTATAATGCAAGTGTGTGCATATCTTTTCTATAAGGTGTCTTATATTTCGTCTGATGTATGGCGGACGAAAAGTGGGGCAAAACTGGCGAAATCGGTTTTCGTAAACAAAAAGATAAATAAAACTTAAAGATTCTGATTTTGTAAAGTAAAATTTGTATTACGAACGCAGCGCACATCTAGACGACCAAAAAATGAGTCACTTGATCCTAACAAGAAACGAAAAACACTGTCTTTGGAGAATAAACTTTCAAGAACACAATCAAGAACTAACGATTCACAAGCTAATAGAAATGAGTGAGCATGATCAAGACATTAAACAAACTGATTCATTCGTTAGACCCTGTTGAACCGGAACATCAAATTACTATTTCACACTTAAGAGACTTAGGCTGAGCACAAATGAAATATTTTGAAAATATATATGTTCCAACGAAGAGCGCGTGTCTACTACAAAACGGAAAATAAAAAAGTTACTGGTATGCAATGAGAAAATCTTATGAGCGAAAAAGAAAAACTCAACTCAGGCCACATTGTTAGAAAATATGAAGGCTTCGATATAAAAATAACTTTGATTTACTATGTTATATTCACAGTAATGTAAATTGTTTTCATTTTCTAACATTTTATTAAACATGTATCTTCAAAATTATTCTTTCTTCGAGACTGTGGTCCCGATTACACAAAATTTTTAGGTATTTATATGCGCAAAGTCGAAACCCTGACTTATGCGGCAATCTCTTGGTCTCACCTATCGCGTAAGTCCGGGGTATTAAATTTAAATTTTCCAATTTAATGACACGCATTTATATGCAAAGTCAAAACCCCGACTTACGCGGCAATCTCTTGGTCTCACCTATCGCGTAAGTCCGGGGTATTAAATTTAAATTTTCCAATTTAATAACACGCATTTATATGCAAAGTCAAAACCGCGACTTACGCGGCAATCTCTTGGTCTCACCTATCGCGTAAGTCCGGGGTATTAAATTTAAATTTTCCAATTTAATGACACGCATTTATATGCAAAGTCTGAACCCCAAATTCGACTTATGCGGCAATCTCTTGGTCTCACCTATCGCGTAAGTCCGGGGTATTAAATTTAATTTTCCAATTTAATGACACGCATTTATATGCAAAGTCAAAACCCCGACTTACGCGGCAATCTCTTGGTCTCACCTATCGCGTAAGTCCGGGGTATTGAGTTTAAATTTTCCAATTTAATGTAGGAGGTGGACGCGTGCGGGTGCGACAACGTGTGCGAGGGCGTGGTGGAGGCGGCGGTGGACGCTCTGGAGCAGCGCCCGCGCACGCTGCTGCTGCGGCTGGCCGGCACCGCCGCCGCGAGGGACTATCACGTCCACGATCAGGTGACTGACTATTGTCCGTTTCATATCGTACGCTGAGGACGATAGTGACACAATGCAACAAAATGCGATTTTGAGTAATGAGCGTTTAAAGTTCAAGGAATAGGGATGATGACTAATTTTTGTTTGTTTGTCCGTCAGGTAGTGTTAAAACATATTAAACACGTATTTTTTTCGTATTAATAAAATTAGGGCGTTACATGGAGTTGAATTTCGCATGACGTCACGTTATGGTACGTTTTCTACTCAACTGTGACGTAGCGAGTTCCACTCCGCAAATTTAATACCCGTTATCTAAGCTATTTCTTGTTAAATTGAAGTAAAAAAAATATTTTTCTTTTATCTGACTGACGGATTAAATAGAATTGCATATTTTTTTTACCCAGTCATCATCCCTATTGTAATCAGCCCAAACAACGTATCGTCACTATGCCACCTAGCAGTTTCTATGCAAGCTACGTTAACAGTTATCTTTGCATTTTAAAGTTTATACTTAACAAAGAAAATGTTGCCAAAAGTAAAAAATACGTCGTTTTTGGTTAGTGACATTGTCATTCTCAACGTGCGAATATAATTATAAGTATATTTTGTTTATGCAAAATAAATTTGTGATTTATAATGTGTGGATTACAAGAACCGAAACGCAGGCAGCCACTAGGAGCATGGTGCGACTTAACATTTCAATAACCTAAACTTCTTTGATGCGAGTGCAACCAGTACTCATGTTTATTGAAATGTGACGTCAAGGTTTATATGAAAGGTTTATAATTCTTTTCATAAAACTGTTAAGTAACCAACTCATACGAATAAATATAACACCTTACTGCTTATTCTATATGTCCCCAAACAAATTTCGGATATCTTTTAATTTTGTTACAATTACATCGATACGCTGATGAAAACAGTTCATTAATATGTCTAATAACTACTAATATTATAAAACGAAAAGTATGTTTATTTTTATGATCTTATTCGTCGTTATATCCTTTTGTTTTGACTTGAAACCTTTCCCTCCGATCACAGCCAAAGCAATGTTTTACAGTTAGTTTAATATAATTCCTGTGCAGGAATATCCAAAGCACAAATTGCTGACTGTGAACATGGATGAAGATCTCAGCAACCCAAACTTGAGGCCGGACTTTGTGGACCAGATGTTTGATTACAGTTCAGATGACTCGTTAGACGATCTCTATGATCACGATCTTTATGAGGATTTCGAAGACTTCCTCGGGCCAGGTGAGTGGCAAGGTAACTTATCATTTAATTTTTAACAACAACCATTTTTATAGACAAATGTATAGTAATATAACACAGCATATTTTTGTTTTTCCTTATTATTTATTTAGGCATAATATTTAAGCAAGAAAACCTGACGAATATCATTGCATATTGTGTATTTAATAGGTGGAGTGCGGGCGATGTCTGTGACTCGTTTTCATTGATCGGTCATTGATTGTTATTTACCTAGCAATGAAAAGAGCTTTAAGAAGTCATCTATTAAAAAAAAATGTTGATTTATTTAATTAAACTATTAATTTCAGATGACGAACTAATTCTGGATCCCGACGACGATGACCTCGATGGTTTATATGCATACGGCATTCACGCGGCCAACATTATCCTTCTATAGAGTTTCATCCACTTTCGCAAATTCAACTCCTTATTTAAAGGGCTATTATTTTAATCTACATGTCCTAGTATTGACACGTTATTAAGAAGGAATTCATTTCTTTTACATTGTTTTTATTTGTATAAAAGTATCACTAACAAATCATTGGAACTGATTTCATTTTATTTCTCTTGTCTATTGCATGCATGATTACTTTACATTGAGAATGATTTTAAATGAAGGGTAATTTTTTTATAAATAATCATTTGTTATTCCGCTTAAATATTTACAATAGTAGTTAGTTAGTTGTCCGATCATAATAAGGTAGGTCTTCACATAAATGGTATTTATCTGTGATGCAACAATACTACGACTTTTAATTGGCCAAATTCGGTCTTATTCTAGTTTACTGCTTTTTGTATAAAATATCTCATGTGTATTGTAATTATAAGTAAAGTCTGAAGTATTGTGATAGAAATAAAATTATTTATGTACCTAACTTTTTTCTGTGTTATTATGTACATGTAAAATTTGATTAAATATATAGATTTAACCGTCTCATATGTACCACTCAGTTGTATAAATTTTCGATGTTGTGGCTGCATTAAAACGGACTAGGCTATAAACAAAATTAAAGTTAAGTATCCTCATTTTAAATAACCGAATGGTACAATTGGGGAGTGCACTTATAGTGGTCATATTGTCTAATACTCACTGTTCATATTAAGGTAATACGAACATAGTGCTTTTACATAAGATTTTGAATAGTCAATGTATATAGATTAATGCTTTAAAGCAGTTGTTATTTGTGATAGTGCATACAATAAAAAACATTCTGTTATTTATTGCATTTGGTGAAAACAGGACGGTTCTCGTGGAAAAAAATTCAATCCACCCTACTAACAATAGTGTAATGTTTATGCCACTTTCAAATTTGTCACAATTTCCACTCATGCCTGTGTTTGGAAATGTATAAGAAGGATACAACCGCGAGCGACCCGTATGCTTAAACAATCAGATCACAGTAATTGCTCTCAATTTGTATCTTGGTATGTTGTATGTTAACTATCAGTAATGTGTACAGTACGCATCGTTATTTGAATACGATTTCTACCTCAGCGGATTTGTTACATACAAATTTAAGTGCACTTCATTAATGTTTAACAGAGGGCTCTAATCTGTTGTGGTTCGAAGTGTTTCTTTTTTTTTAACTCCTTGCTAACTTCATAAAGAAAGATGTACTGTAATTGTGAAGAATATGACTGATTAGAGCTCATTGCAGAATTAAAGTTCCTTACCGATACTGGCTATAGGTATAAGTTATAAAGGTTGCCTGCTAAATATAATCATCTGTTACGTTTTTATTGTATAGCATATAAAAACACGTCCACTAATATTGCAATAATTTTGTGCCACTGTTCCATTGGAAATTAATAATTTACTGCAGACTTATTTATTGTAATTTGGCGGTGAAATTGATTGTTATTCACTGTATTTGTTAACTTACTATGGTTAAGTGGGATTACATTGTTTTCATGTTTTTAATTTAGACAAGTTATATTTAGTTTAGAATCTTTTTTCCGCAATTTTTATTATATTTCCTTTTTTAAGAAACAATGGATTGTAATCAAAGTAGTGATTTTTATTTAATTTTACTGAAGGATGATTTTGTTTTATACTTAAAATCGAAGGTTTTATATTTTTTAAGGTTTTTAAATGCGAATTAAAAGCTTGATTTACTTGAGTGAGAAGAAAATATTTTGTTGATCAAGAGAACTTTGTTTTGTGAATTAATAACTTACAGACCTAAATATTTGCTTAGCTTAGCTTGGTAACAACAGAGATATTTACTTGTGTAATTTTCAGGTTCAGTTTATTTGTTGATCAGCGTTTATATAATCAAATAGTTAATGAAGAAAAAGAATTTCCATGCTTTATAGGTTTATTTTTTGTTAAAATTTCATGGCGTGATTCAAATAATTTTAGAATACTCAGAGAAAAGTATGAACATTGTGAAGTAAAAGTTACTCATTTCCATATGATCGACATTTAGTATGATGAGGTTTTGTTTGTTATTGAATTTGTTTTGTTTGTATTTGTGTAATATCTCATGTTGCAGGAAGTCTTTTATGATGATGTAGAGGTTTTATATCTTCAATAATTCACATAATAGTGATTTGTGTTTTTAGAATAATTGGCATTATCATGGTCATAATAACATAACGCATGAGTTTGTGTATGAGTCTTAGTTTTTTATAATTGTTTTAACATAATTAGTAAGACAAAATAAAACATTCTCTTCAACAGCAATTATCTAAATTATTTAGTTTTCCATCTTCCATCCACCTTCTTATATTTTGAGATGAGTTTAGCTATAGATTCTGACTTCAGTCCAGTAGGATAAGACCACCACAACGATTATCAATTTGTCCTTATTTCGTACAACTAGCTCAAGTTAACATAACACCTGGCTCGGACTTTGTATGCCCCACGCTACCCCGGGCTTGGCTATTAGTTTCTATTTTGTAAAGGAATAAGCAGTCATGAATTAATTTCAAAATTCAAGAGGGTGTCGCTGCCAGATTACCGACCCTCTTCGCTATAAGGTTTAACCTTATAATAAAACCTACGTAATAATAATAATAACCTGATCATTCATATAATGAGATTACAATATTAGCATTCGCAAATTTGTGCAAATGTTTTGCTTATATTAATTTTAGAAATAAAATACAATTCGGAGATAATTTTATTACGTTGACAAAATTAAAGATCCATTAATTTCCTATGATTACAAAAAGTAATATAATCTTATAATCACATTCTCAGCCTTTATCATATGGTTTTTACTGCTGCTCTACAATAATATGAATAGAACCAGCTAGGGTAAAATACCCAGCAGTGGCGTAGCGTAGTGGTGGCAGCAAAATTTCATAGTAAACAATAAAATATATTTGTTAAATATTTGAACCAATTCATATTCTTAACGAATGAAAAAGTACGGAATTATTCATTATTTATTCTGTGATGAATTCGGAGAATACTTTACAGACTTACGGGGATTCGCCGTATTTTTATTTTGTGCTTGGAATGTTTGACTTATAATCAGCAAGAATGGCTTTTATTACATACATACTAAGTTCAATATTGTTTATTATGTCTCTTTAAGAAAGTACATGATGCTTTGATAATTCACAGTTTTATTCATGGATCTTCAGTTGTTTAGTTAATATTTTTTTTATTTCAAATCTTTTTTGTTTTTTAAAAGACAAGCCCGCTTTTAAGGATACAGATAGATGTGTTGCGAGGGACAAAGTACACTGAGAATAAGAACAATTATTTGTATATCACACCAAAAATTTTTCTTTGTGGGGATCGAACAATAACACTCGACAGTTGCATGGCGACAACTAAACCACTCGACCAATCGTGCAGTCAAAATCTAACCTATAATGCGAAATAATGACGACAGTTCATGCCGAAAAATTAAAAGTAATGTATAGTATAATTATATAAAATACCTAATTAAGAGGGGCAGCGAGATTGTTCCGCCCCGGGCGACAGACACGCACGCTACGCCACTGATAGCCAGGTATTCGGCTTTTTAATGGGAATCTTAAATTGATGCCACTATAATAAAAAAAATTAGAGATTTAAATAAAAACGGTTATTGTTATTAGAAAGGTTGTTTATTATATTTTCTAAAGAGATCAACAATAATCAACACTAAAGAAATATGGTACCTACTTTCACCAGTACTCTGCCTTATGTGCACCACAACTCGACCATCTCTTAGCCTTTAGCTAGCCTCTTACCACCGTAGGTACTCTTACATATTGGACATACAAATTCTTGAATATAAACATTTTCATAGACATCAAATAAACTAGCAAATTTTAAATAACTGCAATATACTACAGTCTTTAAATTCTCTTATAACTATTTTAGACCTTAACGGACTTTAATTTTTGTAATTCTCATTTTATCTTTTTCTGCTCATTTTCATCTTTCTACTCCAATAATTCAAGATTTTTATGCAAAAGTAATGTGCTACATGTAATCCTAATTAAACAGTTATATGATTTAATTTTATGCAGGAAAACTAATGGCCAACTGTTGCAATCAAAAGTCCATCAGTCAGCCATCAACCTACAGTCACTTATACACGGCAGACTACCAGTAAAATTAACTTCTTTTCTTCTAAGAGTTATATTCAATCCAAACCAAAAAAATATAAACTATTTACTGTATGAATTTCAACACAATCAAAGAAAATCCTAAAAAAAAAAAGCAGAAAGTCAGCCTCAAGGTTGTAGTAGGTACTACTAGGAAATGAGTAAAAAAATATACTTGATAGCTTAATTTTATTTCAAATTAAATAATTTTTGTTAAAATTTTATCTAAAGAACAAATATCACGACTTTCCACTATGTATTAACTAGAAGTTAATATCATAGTTGTTAGTCTTTATATAGATATTCCACCATCTTCCCATAATGCCTATATCAACTATTCTTGATGGAAAACTGAGAAATGAAGGCCTCAAATATGGGCACTGGGCTTTATACAAATCGCATCTATCGTTTAAGGCTGAAACATACATTATCGAAGCAATGCCCATATTTCTGTAGTGTATCACTTCTTCATTATAACATGAATCTAAGAAATTTAAGTGTTCTATAGCTTTTCGGTTTCGACATTGTTCACTGACTAAAAGTACTTCGTTGTCTATCCTCTTTAAATTATCTTTAAAATCGATTTCATTTGGGTTATTACACGCCAATGTGATTATTGAAACCAAACCAACAGTCCATTTGATAGCTTTGACAGGTTCATCTTGAATATCAGTCCTTAAGTCTTGTAGCATTTGACGATAATCGATCAATAAGTTTTTCCAGTAATTAGCCCATTTTTCTACTATAGTACCTTTAAATCTCTCAGGGAATTTTATTTTCCCGAAAGAAGAAACATTTTTTACACCCTTCAGCATTGCGCTGTATTTGACAGCAAAGAGTAGGGTAGAGATAAAGGGATAATAAAGTAAACTCTTTTGACACCAAGTATTTGATATCGATATTTTAGTACCGAGTAAGAAGTAGTATCGTGAAGTAAGTACTTGTATCGGTACTTGGTCGGTCACTCACTGAGAAGAGTCAAATAACTGGCGTGCTCCTTATTATTTGTATCTGTGGTAAGAAGTCTAAAGTCCGTCTCATGAAAAATTTCCACTGGTGCAGCGTCCCTGTCGTATGATAATAAGCATTGCTAACATCTACTAATTTAATGAAGTCAAAGATTTATCTGGATAAAGCTTTGCCAATAAATTTTTAAAGCGACACCTATATATACCCATGACTCTTTCTTCCGTAAACAGAGTATTGCTATTGACTATCAATAGTATCAAATCTGTTTTAAAAATCCATAAAAATGACCACCATAGTGAGGCATTTTAAAACTATTCGATACGAGTAAGTATCGATATTTTCATTCTATACAGAGGAAGTACCTATATGGTATTGTTCATCACTAGTCATACTGTCGACGAGCGAGACCCGTCTAAACTGTTTTGGTCTTAGTGGTATTTATTCAATATACCCAATATTTAATAAATACCACTAAGACCAAACCAGATCAACACGGTATCTGGATATTATATAATCAAGTGCTAACATGACTTTCACGTATAACTACAAAAATTTGTTCACTTCGATCATCGACAATGAATGATTTTCGATGAAACTTTTGATTGTCTGTGTCTACTTTTTTGTTTAAATACAAATAATATTTATATACTATATTATTAGCTTTCTGTCCAACGGCTTCACCCGCGATGAAAGAGAAACGAATGGACCAAAGATCATAATTTCCGTTCCTTTTAACTATCATATTACAAAACTGAAATTTGCAAAGTATACAAATATGAAAAAGTACAAATAGAAAATGAGTTGTTTATTGAGCTTTGAATATTAATTTATTTTTATCAATTTTTATTCATGAAAGAAAACTGGAAGGGTTGTCATGGAGACATCAAGAAAGTACCGTAGCAATATCTAGTTTGATTTCGGGTACTATTTTTTATATTTACTTCCTCTTTACAATGACAAATTGAATAGAAAACAATTAATTTTTTGGTATAAAATATAGCTAATGTTCATCGTATACCTATAATGTAGCTTTCCGTAGAAGAAAATGAAAATCTTTATTGCGGCATTACCGGATAACTTATTAATAAAACACTGGCTTGTGAATTTAATTTGTGTCTCAGAAGCCAGTTCCTTTCTTAAATTATAAACTTTGTTGGTATTGTTCAGTTGATCAGTGAACTAACAATTTATTAATAAAAAAATTACAACACACAAAATAGTGACACGCTAATTTGATTTGTAAGTTACATTTACAAATCAAATTAGCGTGTCACTATTTTGTGTGTGTGTGTGTGTGTGTGTGTGTGCGTGCGTGCGTGTGTGTGTGTGTGTGTGTGTGTGTGTGCGTGCGTGCGTGTGTGTTTGTGTGTGTGTGTGTGTGTGTGTGTGTGTGTGTGTGTGTGTGTGTGTGTGTGTGTGTGTGTGTGTGTGTGTGTGTGTGTGTGTGTGTGTGTGTGTGGTTTGAATACATATATAAGTTTCCTCACTCAACTTGATAAAATCCTAATATGATTGAACCATTGCAATCCATCGTCAACCGTGATACCCAGATATTTAATAGTATTGGATCTATTGAGTTCCATACACTTGCATGTGGTATGCGTTGATGCGTTGTTGAGAACTGGCAACACCGCTGCGAGCGTGTATTTGCAGCAAAAAATCGCTTGAGGGACTTGACACACTAGTATTACTAAAGCAAAGATATGTGGTTTTAGAAGGGTTCAGTGAAAGTAGACTGCTGTCAAGCCAATCAGCAACCCTGCGCAGTCCCAACTCAGCCAGTCGCCTAGTTTTGTCCCACGTGCTATCATGGAAAACCAATGCTGCGTCATCGGCATACATAGTAACATCTGAACCTTTAAGTTGAAGTTCGCAAAGTTATTTTACATATGCCAAGAACAGAGTCGGTCCCAATGTGCTGCCCTGTGGGACAAAAGTGTGTAAGTATATACTTTTACAATCCTAAATCCTCACCGACTGCGACCTACCAGTTAATTAGCTTTCGAACCATGACAGAACGATACCTCGGATCCCGTTGTTCTGCAATCGAGTAAGAAGGATAGGAATCGACACGGTGTCAAATGCTTTTTGCAAGTCAATAAAGACATATAAACACTTTTTACCTTTGTCTGTGTATTAAGTTATATTATGAATAAGTTTTGCAATGGAATATTCTGTTGTTATTTTAGATCTAAAACCGAATTGATTATTTGAGATATAACTATTTATCTCAAGCTAGTTGATTAATCTTTTGTTTACTAGTTTTTCCATAGCTTTGGATAGAACAGGTAAAAGTGAAATGGGTCTGTAATTGGGTATGACCGATCTATCCCCCAATTCGTGAATAGGAATAACTCTGGACCTTTTGAAAGCAGCTGGGAACTCACCAGTGTTGAAACTAGTGTTACAGAGGTGGGATATGGGGTCGGACAATAGATGTTTCAAGTGTTTAAGTACAATTTGTTGGTATTCCATCCCAGCCTGAAGCATTGCTGCTTTTTAAGTTACCTATAACGCACTTCACTTCATCCGGATCCACTAAACTTAATGACATCGAATGAAGTGGGGCGCTACGAGTTTTAGCTTTAGTTAGATGAAAGAATTTTTAAAATCGATCCCCTACTTTTGGACAACATCACATACATTGCTCAGATTTCAAGATGAGTAGCTGAAGTCCTCGCCATAATTTACTCCTTATTAGTATTTGAGACAGCGGAAAAATATGTGACAAGTATCAAATACCTGTGCCATACAACAGTGTGAACCTGCACAGTGTGTGTACCTATAGAAATAATAGAGTTAAACACTTTAATACTCACACGGAATTTAAACATAAAAATCAAAACGAAAATGTTGCATGATGCGCGTAGAATATTTATTAAATTAAACAACATATTTCAAAAGCCACAATATTTGCATATAAGGCGTCATCGTATCAAATGTAAAGGTTCATCTGAGTCTTTACCGCTGAATTAGCCTTTCCTTGTAGGCATGGAACCACCCCCTTTGGGCGATCTTCGGAAGCGCTCGTTTACTTCCAATCTCCTTTTTGCACTACTAAAGAGACCATCAACATTTTCAATAAGATCGCCTGGGGCTGATCTCATTACCTGCGAAAAATTCTATGTTAATTGAAAAATACTAAGAGCGAGTCGGACTCGAACTCGAGAGTTCCGCACAAATGTTAAATTTAAATGGAATATATAGGTTTCCTGAAATATAAAAATACTTTCAGAACTATCTTTTTAGGTGGTATCTGTAGTTTAGAAGATTATAAAAGCTAGATGGACATTTGACTATTGTCTTAACTGTACCTTGCATGTGACTTATCTAATTTAATAATACCACTCTATGTAACGAAACTGTAATACTTTTTTGTTTGAAATTATTTTATAAATGAGTTATTGAAAGTAATATTTCTCGATTGTAAAATGTAATTTTTCTTTTTATACTCGTATGTAATATTCATACGAGTATTTATTGCTTTATAAACTTATTACTAACATAAACATCTGAGGTTTTTGTTGAATACGGTGATAAAATAATAATACATATATTGATTATTAAATAATAAATAAAAATAATTAATTCATATCATACAATCATATACAAAGATACTGATAAAAATAGGAAAACTTAAAAAATGCTATAATTTAATGCCACTAGTTACAGTAGCAAATAACATTGATTCTTCGTATCGAATAAAATATTAATAGAAAAATACAAATGTTCTTGTAACGTATTGACTTTAGTTTGTGGGTGTCTCATCTCGTGGGTCATCTCCTGTTTTTTTTTACCATTATTCTTTCACTTTATATAGATTATATATATATATATATATTCTCTTTTCCTATAGATTCTTCTATTTAGTTTATGGTAATAATTGGCATGGGAGACAACGTACGAAGAGGATTTTGGTACGGAACCCTAAGTATAACTTTATTGAGACATTGACAGAGGTAACATTTTATAGGAATTATATTTTTATATCTAGGTAGATATACAGTAGCGGTCTCATACCTTGGGGTTTTTCTTGGGAGGGCAACCAAACTAGGGTTGCGAACTGGTACAAGTATTGCACTATATTTTGGGTCTGTGTGCTATATTTTGTTGGAGAAATATATAGTACTCAAATAATTCTACATCGAAAACCAAAATTTAAAAATAAATACTTCCTTTTAAAATATATGATCGCGTATTATGCGACATGTAATTATATCAGACGGAACGCATTTGTAATATTTAATTATTTATATAGAAAAATTGAGTAGGTACAACATAAATAGATAAAATTTGCTTTCAATTAACAATATAAATGAAATCTATTCAAATGTAAAAAGATTGTTTTGAGTTTTAAGAAAGTTTAGATTTGTGGGTGTTTGTTATTCAATCAGGGGGCCAATTCTACTAAATAAATTTTGTTTAAGTCGAATCGAAAACGATACAACTCCAGTTCTTTTTTAGCTGAAATTGTATCGTATCGTATGTCACTTAGTAGAATAGAAAAACCATTAAAAACTGTAGTTTCGTTCGGTTTCGATGCGTTTTCGATTCGATTTAAACAAAAAAAATTTAGTAGAATTGGCCCTCAAGTCAAAAAGGCTGATCGGCTTTGGATGAAATTTGAGGCAAATATTGATTATACTCTAGAATTGCTATATTGCTACACTGTGATACTTACATGCTTGTAAGCTATTATTTTACCTCGGGCAAATGTACGATTTACATTAGTATGCAAGCAAAGACTAGTAATATGTATTTTAGAGTGTACTATATTTTTGTAGCATATTTTAATAAATACTATATGTATTTTGTTGAAGAAATGTTGGTAACCCTAAACCCAACTCAAGTTTTTGAATACTTACCCGTTTCAGAGATTGCTGAAAACCATTATTTACATCACCGTTTGGAGCCAATGGGGCCGGTGAGTACGAT